GTCATGCAGGTGAGGATCCACATAAACATCTGAAGGAGTTCCATATTGTTTGCTCTACCATGAAGCCTCCTAATGTTTAAGAGGATCACATTTACCTGAAGGCATTTCCACATTCATTGGAGGGAGTTGCTAAAGACTGACTGTATTATTTGGCTCCCAGGTCCATCACTAGCTGGGATGTTCTGAAAAGAATGTTTCGGGAGAAATTTTTCCCTGCCTCAAGGACCACTGCAATTAGAAAGGATATATCAGGGATCAGGCAACTTGGCGGAGAGAGCTTGTATGAATACTGGGAGAGATTTAAAAAATTATGTGCAAGCTGTCCCCACCACCAGATTTCTCTGGTGCATTTCGTGGTGCATGTGGTGCAAAATCTGGTGCGTTTTGGCTCAAAATCTGATGCGGTTTTGCTCTGTTTTGGTGCGTTTTCTGGTCCGTTTTGGTGCATGCTCTGTTTCGGTCTTAGCATACTCTGTTTTGGCTGTCTACTACTCCTCTGTTCAGGTGCCAAAAATGTGGGAAATTGGTGTGTAAGTGTTGCAAAATGTGGTGCAATTTGGTGCGCGTGAATAGTGCTGAATAGTGCCAGAATTTTCCAATTAATTGTGATTTTTGCTTTTGATAGCTAGACTTGTTATTTTTGTCTCATTTTTTTTGTGGTAACTTCTTTCAACCTATATTTTGTGTAAAAAATAGCTAGGGCACCCAATTTGGTCAAAATTTGGAGATACAAAATTTAAAAAAAAAAATTTCAGCAAAACTTCAAAGGGCCATAACTTTGGCTCTGGTTATCGGAATTAGACAAACTGTTTTTTCATTTTGTGTAGAAAATAAAGATCTATCAAACCCACACGGCCCCAGCTAGATCTTCCAAAAAACGTCGTTTACTATTTCTTTTTATTTTTGAAGTTTTATTTCATTATTTTTCCAAACTTTTCTAATTTTTTTTAAAATAGTTAGGTTTTGAATTTTGTTGTCAACTTTTTTGTGGTAGTGTCTTATGGTTTTAGGATGATGTTGGTGCATTAGTTTTAATGGTTTCCAAATTTTCATGAAAATTCTAATGATTTTTGTGGTAGTTTCTACTGTTCGCGGTTACTATTCATGCATGTGTTTCATGTAGTGCATGACTAGGAGCACCCCTGATTTTTTGCATCCATTTGATCCTGAGATTGATAGGACATTCCATAGACTAATTAGAGAACATATCATTCAATCTTTAGATAGTGATAGTGATAGTGATAGTGATAGTGATAGTCATAGTCATAGTGATAGCCATAGTGATAGTCTTAGTGTAACTGTTGCATCTGAGCTTGATTCAAGTCAACCAGAAAACATGGGTGAACAACCTTATAATGGACCCCGTGAGAGGACTCTTAGGGAGATGTCTGCACCTGATTTTACTTATGAGAGTTTGTGCATTTAATATTCTGAAGAAGATGTTCCTTTTGTGCTTAAAACTGGACTAATCCATTTGTTGCCCAAGTTTCATGGTCATGCAGGTGAGGATCCACATAAACATCTGAAGGAGTTCCATATTGTTTGCTCTACCATGAAGCCTCCTAATGTTTAAGAGGATCACATTTACCTGAAGGCATTTCCACATTCATTGGAGGGAGTTGCTAAAGACTGACTGTATTATTTGGCTCCCAGGTCCATCACTAGCTGGGATGTTCTGAAAAGAATGTTTCGGGAGAAATTTTTCCCTGCCTCAAGGACCACTGCAATTAGAAAGGATATATCAGGGATCAGGCAACTTGGCGGAGAGAGCTTGTATGAATACTGGGAGAGATTTAAAAAATTATGTGCAAGCTGTCCCCACCACCAGATTTCTAAGCAGCTCCTATTGCAGTACTTTTATGCGGGCCTGAATAGCATGGAGAGAAGTATGATTGATGCTGCCAGTGGAGGAGCTCTTGGTGACATGACTCCGGCTGAGGCTAGACACTTAATTGAAAAAATGGCCTCCAATTCTCAGCAGTTCAGCGCCAGGAATGATGCTATTGTGCTAAGGGGAATTAATGATGTAGCTGCTGATTCTTCTTCATCTGCAGATAGGAAGCTTGAGGGGAAGCTTGATACCTTGGTCAGTTTAGTCACTCAACTTGCCATGAACCAGAAATCTTCATCTACATCTGTGGCAAGGGTTTGTGGCATTTGCACGTCAAATGACCATCATACAGATTCGTGTCCATCATTGCAGCAGCCTTCTGATGTTCATGGTCCTCAAGCCTATGCTGCAAATATCTACAATAACAGACCAGCGCAGCAACAACAGCAACAAAATTACGATCTATCCTCCAATAGATACAATCCTGCTTGGAGAAATCATCCCAACTTGAGGTGGGAAAATCTCAACAACAGCAGCAGCAAAATCCACCACCTTTCTAGAACCATCCCTCAAGTTCTTCATACCAGCCCCCTCAACAGAGACCTCCTCTTGCACCTGCAGCCCAACCAACTCAACCTTCTACTTCTAAGACTTCATTGGAGGAGTTGGTTAGGCAGATGACCATTCAGAATATGCACTTTCAGCAAGAGACCAGAGCCTCCATTCAGAGCTTGACCAATCAGATGGGGCAGATGGCTACTCAACTCAATCAGGCACAGTCTCAAAATTCAGATAAGTTGCCTTCACAGACTGTGCAGAATCCGAAAAATGTGAGTGCCATCACATTGAGGTCAGGGAAACAGATTGACACACCCACTGCAGTATCTCCACCTCCATCTGCACCTGTGTCAGTGCCATTACCAGTTCCACCATCTGCACCTGAGCAAAATGATGAGCCAGTTGGTGCTCAAAATTTTCATGCAGGTGGACCTTCTTCCAGCACCAATTCTGATTTACAACAGCCTCCTATCCCTCTTCCATTTCCTCATAAATTAATTCCAAGCAAAAAGATGGAAGAGGTGGATAA